CACGGCGTGCTTGGCTAATTCACCAGGCAATAAGAGCCTCACGGCAGTCTGAATTTCCCGGGAGGTGATGGTGGACCTCTTGTTGTAATGGGCCAGGCGAGAAGCCTCAGCGGCTATACGCTCAAAGATGTCATTGACGAAGCTGTTCATAATGCTCATCGCCTTTGAAGAGACACCAGTGTCGGGGTGAACTTGCTTTAACACCTTGTAAATGTAGATAGCGTAGCTCTCCTTCCTCTTCTTGTGCTTCTTCTTCTTGTCACCCTTGGTGATATTCTTAACTGCTTTTCCTGCCTTCTTTACGGCTTTGCCAGATGCTTTGGGTGGCATGATGGAGCGTAGAATGACTATACTACCGTCGGTAGATAGAAACTGAACGAGGTGACCATGTTTCGCCTCTCGTTTTATGAGCGTCCCATGGTTAACTCCGAAATTTATCCCCACTTTTTCAGAGCATCGAGGCAGCAACGCCTAGCCAACCATCTCTGACTCTCCCCTGCGCTGCGAGTAGCCCGAGCAGCTGCTGGTTCGCCGTAACTGTATCCAGTATTCTGAAGAAGTAGGGGTACATTTTGGAGTAGCAACTCGAAGGCCTATATAAAGGGGCTCTCCACTGCAAGCAAGACCATCAGTAGCGGCTTGCTGCGACTTTCGTAGCACGTGAGCACTTCATATCTATCTTACTAACATGTCGGGACGTGGCAAAGGTGGTGGCAAGGTGAAGGGAAAATCCAAGACTCGCTCGACTCGGGCTGGACTCCAGTTCCCCGTAGGACGTATCCACCGTCTTCTGCGTAAAGGCAACTACGCCGAACGAGTGGGTGCCGGTGCGCCTGTATACTTGGCCGCCGTCATGGAGTACTTGGCCGCTGAGGTTCTCGAGTTGGCTGGTAACGCAGCTCGTGACAATAAGAAGACCAGAATCATCCCCCGTCACCTTCAGTTAGCCATCCGCAATGACGAAGAATTAAACAAGCTGCTCTCCGGAGTAACAATCGCTCAAGGTGGTGTTTTGCCCAATATCCAGGCTGTTCTCCTACCCAAGAAGACCGAGAAAAGCTCGTAGATCATCTGAATTTCTTCAAACAACAATCAGTCCTTATTAGGACTACAAACATGTGAAAACGTAATTGAATTAATTTTAAAATCATCAAATGATGCAAAATTATTACGATTGTTACGATGAACTCAATAGAATTTCTTTTCTTCCACAAGGAATTTCTGAACATGCGCAGTATTAAATCAACTTCGTTCTTACCACTACCGGATTAGCAGGGGTGTCTGAAGATTTTCCCCTTCTCGCTCCATCAAACAAAAACAAAAAAAAATCGTTTTTGAGTTTAAGGGTGTGACTTTTCGTGAATGTAGATATTTTTAGAATGGTTGTTGAACAAAACAGGGTTCTACGTATTCGTCCCTACAATTCAGGCTGTCTAAAGGGCCTCCAAGGCTTTTTTCTGAAGATTCTAAGGTCGGTCTTGGGTATTCCCTGGTACATCAGGAATACTCAACTATTAAGGACTTTACCATAACCCAGTCTACCTAGAAATCCCAAGATCCCTTCTCACCATACCCGTCACCACCAGCCGCATGGGTCCACTTCCTTGAAAGGGAAGTCAAATCCAGTCTTCGAATTCCGAAACAAGGAATTTAACAAATTCATAGCCGAAGCAGAGTCCCACCCAAGAAATGCTTGGAAGGTCGTTACCCGACTAAACAAGCACGCCACGGAAAATAATATCCCTTCAGATGTGCAGTACGGTTTTAGAGCCAGACATTCGGCCGTACACCAGCTCCTGAAAGTCACTGAAGACCTCTCCGATAGCCTTATCCACAAAAACTTTACCACGATAGCTTTCCTAGATGTACAGCAGGCCTTCGACAGAGTTTGGCACGAAGGCCTCCTGTATAAGCTTATTCAGTTAGGTTTTCCGCACTACCTTATCGGCATCGTCAAATCTTACCTCTCGGACAGATTTATCCGCGTTAAAATAGGCGACTCCTTCTCCGACCCAGTCCAACAACCTCCGGAGTCCCCCAAGGCTCCAAACTTTCACCCACCCTTTTCAACATTTTTTGCCACGACTGCCCCAACGCGAAAATATCAACACGCACGTCTATGCAGACGACGTCGCGGTCAGCTGCAAGTCAAAACAACACTCTCGGTGCACCACCCTTGTAAACGAGCACATCATCACTCTACTCAACTGGTATAGTCTTTGGAAACTGGTCGTAACCGAGGCTAAGACTATAGCCATGCTCGTCTCCTGGAAATATCCAAGGAAGAAACTGCAGAAGATAAAGGTCAACGGAGTAGAAATCGACTGGAGCTACTCCGCCAAGTACCTTGGCGTAACGCTAGACCGTCGACTCACGTACGTTCGGCACATCAACAACACCCGCGAAAAGGCATATGGAGCCTTCGTGCAACTAAAGCCCTTCTTCAACAACAAAGCTGTCTCCCAGAAAACCAAGCTGCGCACCTTCAACGCCATCATCAAGAGCATTAGCACCTACGCGATACCAACGTGGGGCGCTGCAAAGGGAAACCGACTGCAGGGCATCCAGGGCCCTTTCATGAAGATACTGAGGTCGGTCCTGGGTATTCCGTGGTACATCAGGAATACCCAGATTATCAAGGAGTTTAACATCGTCCCTCCAATACAAGCAGCCCCCGTCCTTGCGTCTAAAATCCGCGCCTCTATTACGGACCACCCAAACCCAACCATCGCCGCACTCGCGAACCTCCAACCCGGTCGCTTCGACCTTATAAGACGTCCCTGCGCTCTAGCACAGAACCCCGAGGACCCTCAATACACTCTAGGTCTTCAATCTCCCCTGCTTCCATCGGATGCATCATCTCCATCTCCATGATCTCGACGAAACGAACGCGACTTCAATTCGTGCGCTCCCTTCAGGAGCACCCTTCTATCCGCCGTATCCTCTACGGCCTCAACCCTATACAACACTTACACTAATCACAAGTACGCTTCCAATTACACAATACCCAGCGGACTCACACATCTACACACACACATACACTAACACAAATTTAAACTTCTCTAACTCTACTTATTCCGGCGCAAGCCAAGATTCGAGCTTCGCCCAGATGCGTAAGTGCCCCCTCCTCTCATCTCTTCGAGGGCGAGTCGGCCTCCGAAATTCTCTGTTATTTTCTTTCTTTCTCCTCTTATGCCCTTTTGTCTACTAGGGGAGTGGTCCTCACGGACCTGTCCCATGCGGGGAGGTTAGTTTTTAGTCGGTAGGCACACTGGGTGAATCCGACACTACCACCGGATTAGCTGGGGTGTCTATAAAGATTTTCCTTTCCCAGCTCCATCAAACAAAAAAAAAAAAAAAACAAAAAAAAAGGTGGGTTTGGTTGCCAACGAAAGCAGAAAAGGTTTAAAAGTCAAAAAATAAACANAATAAACACCCGTTGGCTAATGTAGGAATATACATGTATGTTTGCATTGTATATATGCATGAATGCATTTATTTGATTCATAACTCGTCGATATACAGTTGTTTTTTCTGTAGTCTCTTTAGATCACGTAGTTAGATTGCAGTGCGTAAACTAAAGAGATTGTAACAAGCTAAATCCCAATCACAGCCACATCATTTTTTACACATGTTTCGTTTCCAATAAACTTTTTTTTTCCACCTTTTGTATTGAATTATATAGATTCTAAAACACGCTACCTTGATAAGACTCGCATGAAATAATTTTTTTTAAAAATGAAGAATTGCGATCACGTTTAAACAAAATTTATGTTACATAATAATTTATAAACTATAATTATTTTTCATGTGATTTTTATTTTTGTTCTTCCTAATTAAAAGAGAAGAAGCTTTATAAGATAGAAAATCGAGACAAAATTACATATAGAGAAAACATATCGAATTTTCAGCCTTTTATCGTTTTATGTTATTATACGATGTAAAAAATAATAGATTTTGATAAATTTGTATTCTTTTTTTTTCATATTTATCTCTGCTACATAATAAATTTTTGATATCAACTTTTTTTATACACGCGGAAATTACTTTACATTAATTTATATTCAAACTGATTGATAGCAATAATTAATTATTTATGAAATATTTGAATATTTGACCATATTTTGGCAGAATTAAAGACAATTTAACTTCAAGAGAAACTAAAAAACACAAGGCCCATGACATGAATTTATTGGAGAAATCTGTCAAAGCAAGAACTTAGTCAGAAGAACCCCGAGAAAGAAAATATAAACAACAATACCGACAAATTGAATTTTCGCAATGTCTGAGCCTTTAGAAATAAGTTAAAGCTATAACAAAAGGATAAAGGGGTGAAGGTGTGAGCACGTGCACTTACTTGGTGTGTTTCGAGAATCTCGGGATAGGAACGGATGCCGGTGCCAAAGTTGAGAAGAATGGACACTAGACTTACTTGTAACTGCAAGAGCTTGACCGCGAGTTAGACACAACACAAGAAATCCGTACTACTTAATTACTATAAAAACAATTAATCACAAAGCTAACACAACAAAATGTACCTGAAAGAACCAAGATGTACATCAACACTGACTCGTATGAGTCGTATGGCCCTTCGGCCCTTGACCGTGACTCGCACGTCTATCGTCTATTTCCCTCCTCCCCCCTCTTAATTTCCTATTTCCCACCAATGTGCACGAAGCCAATTAGCATGCAGTAAATACCGAGGTAAAGACAATGTATACCTATATTAATTCGAGAAAGAAAAAAAATCTGAAGTCCGCTTAATTACAGGCAGAAGAGAGAAAGAGAGCAATATGTTTTAAAGAGAAATAAGAAATAATAAACACTGGTGCGTTTCTTTCCTCCCTTTGTAATGCCCAAAAATATACCTGGGAAAATGTTTATTAAATTACTTTATTTTCAATTTTTAAATGAGTTTTATTGTACATGGTACATTGATAAAAGTAGAGTTATGAATCAAGATGAACAAAGCTTATACAATTACTGCATGCGTGTACCGATATACTTTGACATTTTTTATATTGTATTAATTTTCAATATAAATATGAAAAATTCGCGTAAAAATACGCAATTGTATCATTTTAACTGAATGTTATACAGTATAACCAATACATATTTATTAATCATAGTGACATAAGTGAATATGTTTGTTATTACGTACAAAAGTATTAGCTCCTCTACGTGCCAGTACTTGGACGTGGTGCCGTATTTATTTAGTGATACCTTTTACAGTAACCCACTGATATTCAATACCAGTATATTATATGTAACACCTATACATACAATTTGATGTATAGCTTAAAAAATTGATGGACACGAAAGTAAACAAAGTAGATAAAGTCTAATTTGACCTGTACGTAAAAAAAATTGATTTTATATAGTCCACTGAGTAAATTGATGAATAATATTTGATACAAATTTTTTCATTTTTTACACAAAAAAATACAACGGATATAAATATATAGACTTAACGCTAAGGCTGCGCTTTTTAATATTTTTTGTAATATTTGAGATGTTATATATAACCTTCTTCAGCCTATCTCTATTATGGTAAGTTTTTGTTTATGTTAAAAAATAAAACACAATACGTCGAATATTATTTTCTGATAAAAGCTGCGTAATAAATCGAATACATTTTTTATTAAAAAATAGTTATTGACGACTTCTGTAATTTGTGTGCCTGGTAGGTAGGCGTGCAGTCTTGTGATTCTTTGAATTTATGAAAAAAAATCATGAAGCTGTACTTCATTTTTGTAAGTATGTAATTTAACCTAACCTGATCTTCCCCAAGTAAACTATCTATTATCATTTATTTTAACTTACAATCCAAATTTTTGAAAATTTGGACACAATTCAGTAATTAAGAATATCAAATACAATTTCATCGATTTCTTACATTTTAAAACGGATCGACGTTTTTTAAATTTATTTATTAATTCTTTTTTAAACTATACGCGTACATTTAAAAGTCCCTCAACCTAACCTTGCAGGGTATGGAGCTAAAACGTGATTGGGGCCCTTAAAAAAAATGAGAATAACGAAAAAAATCTAACTTCAACAAGTTAGGTTTCAATGTATTTTTGGGAAATTTTCTGACTCGGGACATGGGGGTAATTTAACTGACACTTGCAGCAGTTTGGAGACAATCAGTTTGACCCCAGTGATCACGTACAAAATATACGTTTTACTTCAGCCCAAAGTCGTTTCAATCAATCAAGTTAAACCTGATCGTGTTGATGAAATACGAAATACATTTTAAACAGGTTTATCAGGTGTGTATATATGTATATTGATCAGCGGGTGCTAACACGTGGTATGCACGTTTGAAAAAAAAAGTTTGGGTAAAAGTTTGTAAGTATATATGATTAACCCAAACATTTGTTCGTTTATGATTCGTTCCAATTGTGCAAGAATGATTATTCATCCCAATCACAGCCACATCATTTTTTACACATGTTTCGTTTCCAATAAACTTTTTTTTTTCCACCTTTTGTTTTCGGAAAATATTGCCCTTTTTCGTCAAACAAGATTACATTATACAATGCAGGTGTATGTGTATGATCTACTGAAACGTTATAGTCACACAGGGTATTGTGAAAGGGTAAAAATGAAAATTACAAGAAACAGTGATTTTGGTTCTGCATACACCACTCGGGCTCCAGACTGTCTGCGTAAACGCCGTGTTGGACGAGGCGCTGTCGATGTCGCAGCATCCGTTGCTCAGCGTGATTCCAGGGTGAGGATGGGTCAGACCAGAGACGCTCGGCCAGTGCCGCTGACCGTGGCCAGAGGCGTGAGTCCACCGACGTGCTGTCAACTTGCTCTGACCACAGAGCTGCTTCTCCACCTGAGCGTAATAAATTATTGTATAGCACGGGAAAAAATGTGCATTAAGGTAAAATGAGCAAAATGTATCTTACCCAAGACCAGGGGCTTTTGTTCTCGAGAAAAGCCTTGATTTTGTAAGATCTTCATTGGAGCGTTCTCGTAAACTTTTTGCCAACCAATGTATGGAGAACACCAATTGTTGCCTTCACCAACCCAAGCACCAAACCTTAAAGGCATTTGTTATCTCGTCAACAAGTATATATAATACACAAAAAATTTTTTTCAAGATTATTTTAAAAATCCTCTCACAGGGGTACGTATGGGTTTGGCAATCGAAATACAATCATTCGAGCAGATGGCGCGATGAATCTTTGAAATAAAGAACCAAACAAAGTGCTCACCCACAGTCCATGTACAGAGCGTCATAATTGGACAAGATGATCCGGAATTTGTTCTTGATAAGCCTGCCAATCGTGGCGTCCGCTCCAGTGGTCCAGATCTGTACGATGTATTTTTTGGGGTCGAGGTACTTGAGCAGGTTCTCCTCGCTCGTCAATCCACTGGTCCACAGTACGGCGCCGAGCTCCTTGCCCCCATTGGCTTTGGCCAGCTTCTCGTAGGCTCTCGCCTGAAAGTGGCCCCACAGCCTGTAAAAGCTCGACTCGGACGCGTCCCAGCCCTGATCGGCCATCCAGTCGCGGATCGCGTCGGACGAGTTCCAGCAGTTGATGTTGACCTCGTCGCCTCCCATGTGGAAGAAATCCGGCTGGAAGTCGCGCAACATGTCCGTGAATATGGACTCCAGGATTTCGTAAACCTTGTCGCTCGTCGGGTTCAGCTGGCCACAGGGCGGCTCGACGCAATAGTCCTGCCACGGCTTGGCCTTCAGGCAAACCGTCGCGTTGTGCCCAACCTACACGAAAACAGTTACACCCATATGTTGTCACCACCTTTTTCAAACGCACGCAATGTATATATAGGTAGTACACAGAGGAGAGTTTCCGAACCCATTGCCATCCCTCGCCAACATGAGCTGGCGCGTCGAACTCGGGTAAAATCCTGACCCCACGGAGCAGGCCAAACCTGACGATCTCCTTGACGTCCTCCTCCGTGTAAACCTTGCTGGGCGCGTAGGCCCCGTACTTGGACATTTTGGGGAGCGAGCGGCTGACGTAGGGAAAGCTCTGCGAGTCGGTGATGTGCCAGTGGAACGTATTCATCTTGGACATGGCCATTGCATCTATCGTGCGCAATATCGATGGCTTGTCCATGAAGTTGCGGGCCGTGTCGAGGAGGATTCCGCGGTATGGGTAGGCTGGCCCGTCCTTTATCAGGACCCCACCCGGGATTTTGAAGTTGTCGTACAGGTCGTCGTGGACTATCAGCTGGGATAGGGTCTCGAGGGCGTGACGGGCTCCAAAGTAGCTGCTGCTGTCTATTTCTGCGATCAGCTGGTGGTGCATATACGATAGACAATGTGTAATCGAATGCCGAGCATTTTTGGTCATGCATGTATATGGAATTTGTTAAGATGTCGCGTTTTGTTAAACTAGGCGTGGCTTTAATCCACCAAATTTAAAAAATTCCAATTTTACATGGAATTAATGTTGGAACTCTAATTAATTAAATTTTATGCGAAAAAATTCGTGCAAGGATTACCGTGGGATATCTTGCAGGAATTGCTGCGCAAATGGGGCCTTTGGAAGAAAATTTTAAATACCAAAAATGTCAGGATGACATTCAACGTTGATGCATTAGAAATATCCTTTTCTTTAACATTATATCGATTAACACCAACATCGGGGGACTACACGGTATTTTACATTAAAAAACTAAAACGCTCCGATACAAAATTTTCAGATGATAAATAAAATACTCAAGCGCTACAGTTTCTAAAAAAATGTTCTGCGAGAGGAGTGTTTGCCGTAATCATGTAGATAAATATTAACACCGACCTGCCGCTGATGCTCATTGTCCTGGTAGACCTTGAGCGTATAGTTCTCCGGCGTATCGAGGGTCAAACTGGCTTTCCGGAGATCGAATTTCCCGATTACCCGGACGGTCAGTCCGTGAGCCCCTCCAGTGCCCTTAGCTCCAGGGGCGAGTCTTTTGACATTTCGCCTTAGACGTTCGACGTTTTCCCGCAGCAGCTGGCCAACTTGGCTGTGGGAGTCGACGCCGCTCAGTGTTATGCTGTCGGGGTCCAGGTTGATCGCAACATTGTCGACGGATACGTGGCCCGTCGGCTTTGGCCATAGAGAGAGCGCCTCGCCGCAGAATAACTGGCAAACGCTCAACGCCAGCGGTGTGGTCACGTTTGCCGTGATCTCGGTTTTTTTGCAAAAACCTTGCTCGCAATAGTAGTGGTACGGCGAGCTAGAATGTAATAGCATTATGTACCGTTGTAAGGATAACCATCTTTGAGCGCTCTTCTTTTAGGGATTAATTAATTTTTTTTTTAATTATACAAAGGTTTTTGTCTAAATTGTATATTAAAAAGTTGGGGGTGTGGAATAATCGGGGTTTTCCCTTTTTTATAGACAAGGCATTTTCGTGTCAACATTTAATTTAGTTTATTTAATTTTAAAAAATTTTATCTTACTTCAGTTTTTTCGTAAAAAAAAATCATTAAAGTTTAAGTCAAGCCATGCAATAAGTTATGTTTTTTAATCTGATCCATAAAATTTTTCAACGATACTTTGTACACAAATAGTAAATTCCATAGCAAAGCTTGTAAGTAGAAAATTTAAAAATAAAGTGGATGGTAAATATAAGCATGCAATACGTTTTTTATTTTTTGTTCAAGAACAGGTTATCGAAGACCGAAATAAATAATTTAATACAATGTAAAATCATCTTATAATTTCTTACTTGGCTTTTTCCAAACAATTATCGACAAAATAAATAGCCAAAAATTATATTTTTTCACAACTTGTATTATATTAACATGAAAAATAAACACCCGTTGGCTAATGTAGGAATATACATGTATGTTTGCATTGTATATATGCATGAATGCATTTATTTGATTCATAACTCGTCGATATACAGTTGTTTTTTCTGTAGTCTCTTTAGATCACGTAGTTAGATTGCAGTGCGTAAACTAAAGAGATTGTAACAAGCTAAATTATGCAATCTCAATAAAAACGATACCTAATTACAAATTAAGATTGTCTAAAAAATAATATTTAACTATTCCCAAAAAATTATCAAAAATTAATATGTTTGATTAAAGTATGGTGGTCGACGAATGAAGCGAGAAGGAAGCGTAGATTTCTATTAAATTAAAAATGGAAATCAAAATTTTCATAAAATGAGTCTAAAAATCCATCAAAGGATACTTTAATGATAATTTACGGATTGTGCAGTATAATTTTTTTTTCGCAATAGTGTGCGGAAAATGGGTGTTTTCCGCACTGGTATTAGTGTGGAAAATCGATTTTCCCACATAGTGTGCGGCAAAGGTTTTTCCGCACAGTGTGCGGAAAAGGTGTGTGGAAAAGGTTTTGCCACACACCGGAAAAAATTTTGCTACACACTGGAAATCAAAATTCAAACCTATTTTGTACCTATTTTCCTCACACATTGCGAAAAAACTTGTACGCAACTCGTGCGGGACGATTTCCCACACTCGTGTGCTCAACTGGTACTCGTTCCCGTCAACTCCGGCACTCGTGTGAGTCAATCACTACTCGTGCGGGAAATCGTCTTTTCCGCACTTGTTACGTAAATAACTATTTAATTATATCGTTGCTTAAATTTTGAGCATGAAATATGTATGTGGAAATGTATAATGAAGAAATGATTTCTTATGGACAAAAAAAATATTAAAAATATATTATGTGGTTTGTTGTATCTTACAAATATTTTATCTTCTTTAAATAGCTAATGTTGACGAAATGCAGATAATTGGGTGAAGACAAAAATAATACGTACATAGGAAAATTAGTTAAATATTTTTATCAGCTTTTTTTACATACGTATTATTCTCGTACTCAACCATTCATCTACAATTCATCGATATTAAAAAGCTATGACTATAAAATAATTTAAAAAACGAATTACTGTAAAAATTTTTGTTTTTCCTTGTTTATTTTAAAATCAAATTCGATTACAAACAATAAAAACTCATTTTAAAGATTACTTTTTTTTTTAATTATTATTTGTTACGTTGTTGCTATAATAAACTAGTTTTTATTTTTTGTAATGATTTCATTTTTATGCAATACAAAATTATACATAAAAAACGTTTTTTTTTGAAAAAAATAAAATTCCAAGCAACATGAGACTTTATAGATGAGCTATGGACTTACGGTAAGATCAATAATTCACAATCAAGTTTGAAGTAACTTATAGTATATTATATTATGCGCTCCACTTGGCAACGTCGTCAATCTTCAAACTTTCACCGGGTACGTTCAGACGTATACTGTATTAGCAATCCGTATTCTAATAATTTATTCAAAGAATCTAGGATTTCATGTACAAACGTGCTTGAATAAATAATGTCATTGTATATTGATTAAAAAAAAAAATTACTTTCCTAGTAGAGTAAAAAGTCGCTGAAGTAACAAAATCATAATAAACCAAGATTTTTTTCAAACACTGATGATCATATATTTTTTTTTTGTTACTATCCAACCAAAGCATTTCCACAAACACTCAGATAAGAATGACTCCTTTGTACCATACACCGTTAGATAGTAATCAATCCACGTTATTGTTCGCACTTATCACTCGTGCGTCATTCCAGATTACAATCAAAATAATGTTAAAAAAGAAGAAGAAAAAAAGCGCGACTCTGACACTCACCTGAAGGTAACATCGTCCCCGGCATCGGTGGTGAAGAAGCGCACCAGCAGCACAAGCACGAAAAGCCCAAACATCGCGGCCAAGACGCCGATGTCCAATGCGAGCCGGCCGAGTCTACCGCGTCCGCGGAGCAGCAGCAGCCGCCTCGTCGAGCAAATCCACTTTATAAGCCGATTCATCGCCGCGTCCTCTTTTTTTTCTTCCTTCCTCTTCGGTCCCCTTCACCTCCACCGCCGAGGAAAGAACACACAAGCCTCTTTCTCTTTCTCAGCGGCTCGAAACCTGCGGGCCGGTCTTTTACCTCATCAACATGCATAGGAATACCAAAATATTTTGAGCCTCCCCTCCCCCACTTTTCCAGATTTTTGTTGATCCTTTTTTTTATTTTTTTTATTTTTTTATTTTCAAGAGTATCGGTATTTTGTTTCGTGGCGAGAAAACTTGTGCTGGGGTTCAAGGTCTCGCAGCAATGGCCACTCAGCCATTTTGGATCATTAAGATATCATTTTTACGTTCGCGAAACGACCGCAACTTTTTACAATTTAGCATTGAAATTGTACGTGTTTTCAGCGTGACAATATTTTACAAGTACAAATATATATATATATCCGATGCCTTCGGTGGTAGCTATTATTAAACATTTTATACTATACTTATATGGTAAAAAAGTTATTATTCATTACTTTCGATTAGTAAACTTGAGAAAATAATCGCAACTCGATTTTGCGATTCACTAAATCGGTATCAAATCTCAATTTTTGATTCGTTGAATAACAAACTTATTACCTCACATCGCTTTTTTTAAATTCGGGATTCGGAATCACAAATTTCTGATTCAAAAATAATGACTCTTATGATGATCGATTCGAGAGATTTAAAATTTAGATTTTAAGGTTCAATCTACATTAAAAAATTGATGATCAAAGGTAACGTTATCAATCGAAAAATTATTAGTGATGCACATTATAAATCTTGTTATAAACTTGCTTCGAAGTAATCATGCATTAATGATTTTTTTGATGAATTAGATAAAGAGTAAATGGAGTTAACAGTGAGTTCGATTCAAGCGTGGGTTGAACGTATTGTTATAGACCTGATTTGAGCAGGCGTGTTGATGAAATAAGAAAAAAAATAGTTTTTGAATTTAATGAATGAATCTCAAGCTTAAATCGCGTAAGATCACCTTAACGTGGCGACGGAACCGATTTTAAGAAATCGGCAAGCCGTGTATGTTTCATTATTCTTGTTTTATTCAATAAAAATTTTTATATCCAGTAGTAATAAAAAAAATTTATGTTTTTAGCTCAAAGGCAAAAACACGAGCATGCACTTGCATTCTTTTTCGTTTTACGTGTTTTGTCTTTTAGCTAATCACTAGAATGAAACGCTCTTTCGTGTAAAAACGAATAAAATGTTTTATTTGTTTTTATTAATTATCAGTATCTAATGTAAGATCCATTTTGTGGGTTTTTAGGAACGATTGACGTACAGATAAGGACGTAGTTTTGTTTTTACCGAAAAAAAAAAATTAGCTAAAAATTTCGTCAGGAGTTTTTTGACCAGTTTAACGAATTGCGGAGCTCAAGTAAATATTTGTTATTATAAATAAATATTAATTATATCGCAACAATATTAAAGTGTTGTTATCATCCTATTCTAATATAAATTTAATTATTTACTATTTTGATCCAAATAATTCAACAAATTTTACAGCATTTTTTTTGCAATCTAATTTTCTGTCTGTTATATACAATTATAAAGAATCGAAAAACGTAGATTTAATATCGCACACCGGAGTCACTAATACTGTGATCTAAGGCCGGCAAATACAGAAAAATCAAGACTTTTAAGATATAAGATTGTTTTTATCACTTTTTTTTTTTTTTTTTTTTTAAGTATAGTGGCTACCGTGGCTATACGGCTGGGTTTTGCCAATTCCTAATCTTGTTTAAGTAAGTATATCATGCTTATCTTTTTAAATGTATTTTTTGTCAATCACACGTTATTTACGAAAAATCAGATTCAAAACATTGTATCTTTGAAAAATAAACTTGTTTACCTTGCAAAACGTTCAAGCTAACATTAAACTACTAATGCTATTATAGCTCGTACCTTTTTTTGTAGAGAATATTTTTCGATGGTGATATTGCTGTTATCTTTTTAAGGTCGCCTCTTTCCTTTTTCCTTTTCACGTTGCTTTATTTCAGTATATAATGCTCTTTACAGTGATTATGTGTCTGACACAATATTGACTGAAATTAAAAATACCAATAATACGTTATCACTTTTTAACAGAGAAGGAGATAATAAATTTTGTGTTATAATTTGTAATTTAAAAAATTTTTATTTTGTTTAAACTTTTTATCATTTTCATCACTTATTTGTAAGTGCAAGATAAGTTACAGAAATTAAGAGTGGAGTAATAAATGAAATAAAGTTTAGAATTATTTTTAACTCCATACAAGTAATATACAGTTAGTTATTTTAATTTTTTTTAGTTGTTAGATTTATCGTTTACAAGATATTATAATAGTATCAAAACATACATACATTACACCCATGCACTGTTAGTTTTGAAGTCTTGTTGATGCACAGTAATGGAATATCACATTTTAATGAACAAAACTATAGAATTTTGTATAGCAATCTTCATAAATTAAATTAATTGGATACAAATGTTTATTTCATAAGTATGTATGTGTATCACTTTACAAGACACAAAACGTACATAGTATAAACTCAAGTATTTAACCTTAAACCAAAACTAATAATACTTCAAATAAAAAATCATATTACATTATTCATCGCCTCGAATGGCTCGATACTTGGCTAATTCATTAGGAAACACTCTGTTCAGTTCCACAAGCATATTTGCTTTAAATTTTCTGTAAGCATCAATTTTTCCCTTAACTTGTTCATTTTGGGTAAGAGCTTTATCCATACAGTCCTTTGTATACAGCTGGGGATTTTTTCCTTGATCAATGTAACTGTAAACAAGAATTATACATAACCGATAACCTATTTCCATGTAAACACCAACATTTACAAAATTCCACTCAACGAACCCTTCAAAGTACAAAAATAATATATTAAAATACAGCACTCACTCGAAAACTTCTAACGGCACATGAACATCTTGCACTTGGGTCTTGAGTTTATCAACTTCTTGCAAACCAGTCACAATTCCTTGGCTGGAAAAGTTAATTGCACATTTAGCATATGTAACAACATAAGTCAATAGATAAAAATAATTAACATGAAAACTACTTAATTATGCCAAGATAACAGGAAGCAAAAAAAAAAATAACAAGAATAAAAAAAAACAACACTTACATTTTTTGGTTTAAAACGCTTTGGCCGGTTGGTTGAAAATCACTAACTATTATACGTATTTGCCTCACGTTTTCAATGAACAATTCTAACTGAGTTTCAAGATTTTCTAACGCCGAGGCCATTTTATGTACTCTTTCAGCTTGAAGAAACTTTCACTAACTATAATCACTTATTAGCCATCTTCTACAGTTGCAAATAATGTTGATCGCTTGCAATACTCTGAGAAAAAAATTTACCCTACCAGTAATCCCAGTATCTCTAGCGTTACGATTTTCGATGTTTCCATCAGGGGAGTCGTCTTGAAAAAAACCCTAGATTCTAGGGATTTCCAGAAGCAGTCAATCTATATAGATCCTATGGGCCGCTTTATAACTATATATTTCTTTTTGTGTATCAGCGCCATCTAGCGTTTCGGATTTCTCGGACTGACGCAAAGTATTTTCTAGGGGAACCGTCTTGAAAAAGTCCCTAGATTCTAGGGATTTCTAGAAGAAGTAAATCACTAGATATATATAGATATACTACAGTAGGTCGAAAATCGCAAACGTGAAGGGTCTATTTGCGTGCATCGAAATACACAATACCTTATTGCTCGAGATTGATGGTCACATGCATTTAAATTTGCCAAAAATGTAACAATTGTCACCCACGCATGCCTCGCGTTTTGGTTATATTGCATATATCGAAGCACGCAAATAGACCCCTGCAGTAGATCTCGCCGTCGGTAGCATCGGTCTACTGTCAACACAGCAGGGCCGATGTCGTTGCTGTACCGACGGTTGGCTGATTCTGTCGCACTGAAGGTCTCCCTCTTATCTCGTACCGACTGTCGGTACAGCAGGATTTTCGACGCTAGATGGCGCTACACCCAAATGCAATTTCGATCGACCCCCAAGGGGTCTATTTTGCGTGCTTCGATATACGCAATATAACCAACGCGAGGTTTGCAGCGTGGGTGACAATTGTTACATTTTTGGCAAATTTAAGTATGTTCAGTATGCATGTGACCATCAATCTCGAGCCGTATTGTGTATTTCGATGCACGCAAATAGCCCTTAACGTCTGAGATTTTCGACCTACTACAGTATATCTATATACATGTCTAGTGATTTACTTCTTCCGGAAATCCCTAGAATCTAGTGACTTTTTCAAGACGGTTCCCCTAGAAAATAGTTTGCGTTAGCCCGTGAAATCCGCAACGCTAGATGGCGCAACAATGAACTAGCGCGCTGCGGCGGCGGCTACGCTGAAATGTTTAAAGGATTAAAGGTGCGCCGAGAAGAGTTTTTTCTTTTTGATATTGCAAGAGCTGATGCACATATGTATTAATAACTCTATTCGTAAACGCAATACACTACTTTATTAATAATGAACCAATGCATGATTATAGAAAATGTTGCATTAAAAAAGATTAAATTTCGTTGACTTGGTTTTCTTCAATCCTTTAAATAATTCAATTTTTTTAAAAAGGTTATAATTTTCAAAATCATAAAGTTTTGGAGGTATCAAATGAGTTTTAGAAAATGTTTTTGGGGTAATCGTGAATAGAGTGATTCCAATTGTCGTAAAAGTAATTTGAAACATCGTAAGTAATATGTATAGATCTATTGTTAGTTTATCTGTTGTACAGTGATAATTGATTTTTGTCGGCAGCAAAACGATCAGCCGTTTTATAAGATCTTCATTTCGTCACATCTAGAATTAAATATGAATAATTTCACGTTGTAATAGGTAAAATAAATGAGACATCGTGATACATCTAAGCAATGGATTATATTTATTAGATGAAATGCGCATTTAATGTTTTACACAAAAACCGTGGTTGCGATCTTTCATTTACATTTTTACATACAAAAAGGACGATCCGTAATTTTATCACAAAATAATATATTCATCGATACGCAGTTGTTTTTTTAATTTTGTGTATTTTTTAAGTATATAACAAAGTTGTCGGTACTCTTCTATGGAAGTTTTTTCTTACAACACATTGTAACACCACCACGCCATGAGAAATTACGAACGTGATCTACACGTCGCTTTCTTTTTCAATGATTTACTTTGTAAATCAACTTTTTTGTTTATGCATTGTATCCCATAATTACTACTAAACTGTTCACTTTCATGGCTGTGATTAAAAAAAAAAAAAAAAAAAAAAACAATTCGAAATAATAAATAGTACGGATCATTTCGTTAGTTGTTTAAAAACTAATTTTACGTTTAAACTTTTATTACTGAAAAAAATAATTCTCTTCGAGTNGCTTGTACATTGTGGATGAAAAAAAAAAAAGGAAAAAACAGTTGCAATTGCGTGCCTATCTAGAATTATTACGCGCGAGATCGTGCACATGCAGTCCCGTCAAAAAGTATATCCAATCTGCATACATAATCGTAAATTTAAAACGTGACCGTGCAAAGCACGATTATACGCAATTTTCATACTTAATTGTCACTTTCATTACATAGTTATCTATACAACAGTATTTATTCCATAGAGTCTCTGGTGTTTTCTCGAATGACGATATCTAGCGACAGTCATCACTGAGAATGGGAAAGTAAAATGGATAAGTGGCAAGTAGTCAAGTGAACTGATGCCACTATGCATATGGCAAACAAGAAAAAGATATGGTCTTGTAAAATTGATTTCTTTCAGAAATTCTTATAATTATCTTTCGTAGCAACGACGGGATTAGTTCACTCAATAGTTTTTTTTCTCGGGCATCACTTTTAATCGTTCGAAGGTCGCTTTTTCCAAAGCTTCCCGATGGTCCGGATGGGCTACGTTTATCAACTCGTAGGCTCGCTGCTGCAGTGTCTTGCCAAACAAGCTAGCGATACCCCATTCCGTGACGACGTAACGCACCAGAGCCCTAGAAGTGACGACTCCAGCACCTTTGAAATAAATACATATCATTAAATTTTCGAGTCCACTGATACATGTTCAACTATGCTCAAAGCGATTCAGTTGCTGTGCGTACCTAAATTAAGCATAGGGACAATTTTCGTGGCTCCCTTGTTAGTTGTGGATCTCAGAGCGATGATGGGCTTGCCCTTGCCGTCCTCGCTCATCGCGGCGCCGCTGATAAAGTCCACCTGACCACCGAAGCCCGAGAACATTCTCGGTCCGATACTGTCCGAGCTGACCTGGCCAGTTATGTCGACTTCGATGCACGAGTTGATCGCAGTCATCTTGGGTTGCTTGGCAATGATGCGCGGATCATTGACGTAATCGACGCGCAGCATCTCTGTTGATTCAACGACATAGTTGCTGCGATTATATAAATAACGAGCACTACCTCATGTATCATTTTATCCTGTAAATGACTGACACGAGAGCCGAGTAGCGATAGCATCATCACTCACCAATGAACGGATTGTTGTTCATGAAATCGTAGAGCTTGTTCGTCCCGACGCAGAAGGAGCCAACGATCCTTCCAGTGTGCATGGTCTTTTGGCTGTTGGTGATGCACCCAAGATTGACAAGATCGACAACCCCATCGCTGAACATCTCGCTGTGCACACCGAGATCCTTGTGGCCCTTGAGTTGCGCCAACGTGGCGTCGGGTATGCTGCCGATCCCGAGCTGGAGAGTCGCGCCGTCCTCGACCAGATGCTCGGCGATGTTCTTGCCGATAAGTTTCTCCTCCTTGCTGAGCTCGTTGCCACCGTGGACTGGCAGTGGTTTGTCGTGGCAGACCGCAAAGTCGATGTGACTCTTGTGGATGAGGGCATCGCCAAATGTACGTGGCAGGCACTGGTTTACTTGCGCTGCGTCAGAGACAAATTTTGTTTCAATCTCATCTTTCACAATCGAGTTTCAGCTGAACTCACCAACGATGACCCGGGAATGGATGAGGGCGGCTCGTACGCAGTCGACGCTGGTGCCGAGGGAGCAGAAGCCCTTGTCGTCGGGTGGAGTCACGTGGATGAGGGCGATGTCGGGCTTGATGTGGCCCTCGTTGAACAACTTGGGTATCTCGTGCAGGAAAATTGGAATGCAATCGGCTCGGCCCTCGTTGACTGCTTTGCGGACGTTGCCGCCGATGAACAAGCTGATGGATTTGAAGTTGTCTAGAAGAATACAATCAGAGAAAACACTCGTGTAACTAGGATATTTTATTTTCTTTGTCCAACAAAAGCTCATCAACAGTTGATGACCGAAAAGTCCTCAAAGGCTTGTCCCCGCGATTGATTTTTTCATCATGAATATTCCTTTACGGAATCGATTTATTAAATCGGGCCAGCAAATTGCCATTGAGTTTTGTATACGTTATAGGTACACGTAGGTACAACAATCAAATAAGAATAATACGATTTCGAGTAACGTTGGCGATTGACAAAGAAGGGACACGACCTTGCATACGTTCCTATATTATCTGTATCGATTAGCGTGTAACATCAGGTTTCTCTGGTTGCATTATGTAGATAACACGAAAGAGTACATTCGAGGCCAAGTGAGCAAGAGTCTCTTTCTCATTTTCCGGCGACACCTCTGACGCACATTACACGTGTACCGGTTCACCTTGTAGTTGCACACTATTTTCGAAGCTCTGTACAGGCATGCCTTATATATTATCACTGGGACATTTTTACTGTTGGGCTACCAAAAAAAAAAAAAAAAAGGGGGACCCAACACAAACAATCAAAATCACGAAAATGATTGAAATTCGTTAAAATGTCTATTGTTCTTAGCAACAATAAAAAATTATTGCTACAAAACGTGTACAGCCGAAACAATGAGAAGACTTGTCGTGTATTGTACGTATTGTTTTTTTAGTGATAGATAATAATTTCAAAATTTCATTGATTGTTGCCTTGAAAAGTTTTATTTAACCATTCTCAGTGCAAGCTATCGCATACCTTTGACCTTCGGATCGGCGAAGGGAGCCTCGCCCTCTAGATGCATGTGAAACAGCCTGACGTTCTTGATGCACTGCTTGAGGCCAAACTCCGTCATGCCACGTAGAAGCTCGACGGGCGTCGCTGCCGCGCCCTGGGCGTAAACGAGGTTGTCTGAAACATTTCACGAGCATCCCAATCGTTAATTTTCCGTCATATAAACAAACCGCTTATTTCATTTTTCATCCCAACGGGGAAAACACAGTTAGACAATATAATAATAATTTTACAATGACATAATCATCAATACTCAAGGAAGAACAAAGAAAACAAAAACATACGATTTGCAAGAATGGCAAGTTGGTGCATGAGAAAAAGAACGATAGTGAAAAAAGAAGGGAGTGAGCAAAGGGGGGCATCGCCCCATTGATACACACGAGTTGATCCATCAAATTGCATGTACTTACAGCGGAGGAAAATAAAGAGGAAGAGGTTGCATGCAGGGAGGTGATGGTGGTGGAGAAGAAGAGACGTGACAAATTATCTTAATGAAAACATTGAGTTTCGCGGGAGGGAGAGGGAAAGGGGGTTAATGACACTTGTGAGCAACAGTACTTTCTCGATTCTCCCTCGCATCGGATGATACGATGGAGAGGCGTATATATTTTGATTTTTTTTTTTTTTTTNCTTGAAGCAATCAAGAAAATGATAGGCTCATTATTTTGAAGAATTGTTTTCGATACAAGTAACACGTTTTTTCGCTATCAACATGTAGAATTGTAAAGTCTTGGGTTCGATTTGAAATTCTGTATAGTTTTTTTTGCTGTTTTGCCGAGTTGAATTGGATTTGGAGTACATTTTACAACGGTAAATAAAATCTTATGGTAGTTAAAGTCGAATACAGCTTTCTATCTTATATATCTTATTTTAGATGATATTTGCACGAAAAAAGAGTAGACTCAACGACCTCGGGGCTATTTTTGTATTTATCTCTCTTTCCACTTGAGATTATGCCTATACAAATAGTTGTACGCAAATAAAATATGATGTATACGCGAATTTATTTTTCTTCAGACAAAGAATTGTTACCTGCATTTTATTTTTATTGCTTGTGCGTTCGATTCGTCAAACTTGAATTGTTTAAAGGATGTATCTCTAGAAACTTATTGGAAGGAAAATTCCTTACTTTTTTGTTTTTCATTCATTTATTTATTCATGATTTAGCCAACAGGGCAAAGGCCCCGTAACATGGATTTATTACAAAAAAAAGTGAACATTTTTCCTTGGCGCTGCACGAACTCAAAATTAAGATTGTATAGGTGGTATGCGTTGCTTTAATCATAATTTATATAAATTTAATTTTGCAACTATAATCATAATCAAGTACAGTTGATGAAAATTGATGATAAAATTTTTAAATATGACATAAGCTTGAACATTAATTTGATAACGCATGTGCATAATTGTGAAAAATAGGGAATAATATAGTATTCTAACGTAAAACGGTAATAATTAATTGGTTAATTTAGTATGGATCACATAAAAATAATAAATGACACGTACTTGGGAAAAAATTATTATGCTTAATTTATTATTAAGAAAAAAAAAAAAAAAAAAACAATTCGAAATAAATTTTTCACAAAATCCACAGCTATACATGGGAAAATAAAAGTATATTAAAATTCACCTGCTAATTCAGCAGAGAAGAGCTTGCTCGCGACTTATTCGTTAAAAGAAAAAAAATATACTCGCTTACAAATTCATCAAAGTGTAAAATGGATTGAAAAAACGCTCACAAAATCCATAAATATGTATTTTTACGGAACAATCGCGAGAGAGAGAGCTTTTTTTTTCCAAAACAAGCTTCCACCGGTGAGTTCGCAAAAAGCTCAGACTTTTCGAGCCAAGAATTTCCTGCACTTGTTGACAACGATTCCCCCACACGACCATATTTCCGCCTCGAGATTCTGCTGAACGAGGAAAAACCTCGATATGGCTCCATTGGCCGAGAAAACTTACCCTTTTTTTCCTCCAACGCTTAATTGAGTCTATAGTCTAAGGTGCCCGCGAAAAACGCGTGTGTGCACATACCCATGCGTATATTTATATTTATACACGGGGCGCACGTACATCAGTGCTAGAAAAAGTAGGGCAAGGCAAAGGATCAATGTCGCGGCGCGCTGCACTTGCGAGGTCCGCCCAAAACCCAACCAATACTAACACTCACGTACATGTAAACACAACACACGACGACGAAAAAGCAACTAGTGCTTCGAATGGGTGTATATTAATTGTACGCGTCATATAGGCTGAGAGTGAAAATGTTATTTTAGGAAACCACGTCTGTGTAGGTATATACTTTTGTATTTACTACGTAAGTATACACACTTGGGGCGTGAAATATTATCAGTCGTGGATGATGTTTGCGGTCTTGATTAAGCATCTTTTTTTTTTCTTTTTTCTTTGTGGATTATGCAACGATTTTGTTTTGTCGACGCTGTATATTTGAGCGGTTGTACGTCACGTTCATTAGCGCGAATAATTTTAACACAAAAGAGAACAAATAGCCAGTCCAATGCAATATAGTCTGCAGCCAACGAAGGCAATCGTTTGAAACAGATAAGAAATATCTTGGAGCCTATAATAATGTGGGAATGAAAAAATAAAGAAATGCTTGCTTTTAGAAAACAATAAAATGTAACAGACACGATGAATACGTGCAGCAAAGTTTGATGTTTCATTAAACAATACATCACAATGAAATTAAATTTTTTTTAAGATAAAAAAAAAAAAATTTGTGATCCCAAACGATAACTCGTGATCATAAAACTGTTCAATTATTGCAACGGGTAAAACAATGAAGAAGGAAAACAAAAATTATATTTTTTTTAACACACCTGAGTACACAGTACATAATATGCAATACTTTTTCAAAAGAGCGCGCGATTATCGTTAAAAGATCACTCGTGAAATAATATGTATAAAACGCACCGTGCCGATAATATGCGTTTTGTAATAATACTCTGTGGAGATATTTTGTTAAATAAAAAACGAATGTTTCATCTTTAAAAAAAAAAAAAAAAAAACAATCAATATACACGACCACGGAAAGATATGTTTCTGGTCAATGCCAAAAGCTCCTTTTCCCGAAATCATCGCGAATAGCTTCCTCCTCCTCCTGACCTCTTTCCTGCATTTTTGCGCGACCTTCCAACTCGTCAGCCACAAAGGCCGACTTTCGATGCGAAGTGAAAATATATACTTGGCCGGCCCAAGTCTAACAGAACTTGGTCGTCTCTATCTCCATTTTTTAAATATTTTTTCTATAACAAGTTGAAAGGCACAAAAGTTTCGTTATCAGCCGATTAACAACGCGTGCATCGTGATCCAGTTTGAAACCAAAGTGCTGTTCTTATCGCTTAAAAAAAAAAAAAAAAAAAAAAAAAAGATTTTTACTTGCCCGGATTAGTGGTATGAAAATTTTGTAATCCAATGACATTGTTGATAAAACTCACTCTTGTGTATACACACCCAATAATAATTAAAGCTCACAAATCACTTCTCTGACTGGCCATCGATTTTGTAATAAAAAAATTTTTTTCGCTTCCCGCGTTAATACCATATTAAATATATCTAAAACTCACTGCATCTCATTGCACATTTGATTGAATATTAAAAAAGCATGATTGAATAAGACAAAAGAAATATCCATGTATAAAACACTCACTGGAGCCAAGTTCGGCAGCGGCAATGGCCTCCTCGGCGGTGCTGAGCCAGCAGGGCTCCTTGTTCGGTATGGGCATCGAAGGTTCGTTCACGTAGGTGTAGTAGTTCTTGGCTGTTGCGGCTACCCTGTAGGGCCGCATCGCGGCCAGAGCGCGTGTCAGACTCGTCATCTTCTGGAGTGACATTTTTTGGTTTTTTTGTTGCTGCTGTTGCTACTGCTTGCGATGCTTACAAATCAAAGCCGAAGAGCTCCAGCTGTCCGTTTGGAAAGAGAAAAAAAATTCATCTTGTGATTCGGATGTGATTTTGCTCGATGAGCTTTTTACTCGGCTTTTTACGGTGAAATAATTTCAAGCGAGGGAAATGGGTGATTTTTTCGGTCTTTCGTCAACTCCATTGAGTTGGGGCTAGGCTTGAAAAAAAAAAAAAAATTGACTTTTGCAAAATTTTCTTCAGGTTCATTCTACTCTTATTGATAGTAACATGTATTATCTCCTCGCCTATGTTTTTCTGAGTATGCATAACATTTTCGCACAATATTGACCGATTGATATTGGATCTTCTGCTTTCGTTTCTTTGAATTAACAGTATTGTATTGTCGTACCCACTCCTGTAGGTACCTCTGGATGTCATTGTACGCGAAGATTCGAAAAAAAAATACAAAATTTTTTTGTTTCTGTTCAGAATGCTCGTGTAATACGGATTTAAAAAATCTACTATAAATTGTACGTTGACATGCGAGAAAAAAAGATTTGGTTTTATTTTAAATTAGGTATGCATGGCACGATGAGAGTGAGCGAACCACTTCAACTTCGATCAAACACTCGAGAATAATCTCACGCTTGAAGCAATCAAGAAAATGATAGGCTCATTATTTTGAAGAATTGTTTTCGATACAAGTAACACGTTTTTTCGCTATCAACATGTAGAATTGTAAAGTCTTGGGTTCGATTTGAAATTCTGTATAGTTTTTTTTGCTGTTTTGCCGAGTTGAATTGGATTTGGAGTACATTTTACAACGGTAAATAAAATCTTATGGTAGTTAAAGTCGAATACAGCTTTCTATCTTATATATCTTATTTTAGATGATATTTGCACGAAAAATATAAATTGTTCTCATGTCATAATAACTACGACAGACAATTTTCATTATATGCTATTTCCTGTTTTTTTTTATGAATTATTTTACGTAGATTTTTAATAATTACGAATACTTAATATTCAAATATAATAAAAACCAGACGCTTTGTACCTATAAATTAATTATCTCTCCAAAAGACAGGCCGACCTTCAATTTGCGATTTGTAAACACGTGAGGAAAAAAAAATCATTGACATAAAAATAGAATTTTAATCAACGACGGCATGAATACTAAGCGATTCCACTTGTTTTGCAAATTTAAAGCATGAATTTTGCAAATAGTTTGATCAGGTTACAAAAAAAAAAAAAAACATAATATTGTTAAGAAACGCAAATCATCAAATTATAGTACCTGTGATAACTAAGAATGTTGTAACATGTTGAGAATACAGACATTAGTAGTCATCAGGTGGCCATTAAAGAATCATCAAACGAACGACAATGAAATCATGCATTATAATAATATGTATGTATACATTTGTGAGTTCCAATGCTTTGTAATCTCTCGGGAAAAAAATTATCTCCAATTGCCTAAACTGCTATTAAACTTGTATTAGAATAAAAAATAAAAAAAAATTATCATTCAACTCCCAAACATTTCAAAATTTACTTTAAATTTAATATCACTTGAACACAAGTGCACAAAAAAAAAAAAATGAATAATTCAAGAAATAAAAAGATCCGAGGTATCGAATCTTTTTAGGTATAAAGATAATCTGCGTGTAATCAAATCTGCACAAATTTTATGTTACTTATGATTCGTCAACAGAAGACTTTAGTACATACGCACTCTGATACAGCAAAATCCAAAAAGCTACTTATAAGTACATGTGTACCTAATAAGCAACTTGAACTTAAACTCGTAACTCGCAAGAACCCCACACACGAAACACATGAGCTATGCGTATTTTTAATCAAAATACCCATTTGATCGATCACACCCACTACACGTACGTGTTTTCGGTACCTACTTTATTTTTCGTGAGCCTCGAGGACGATCGATTTGATAAGCTGCACCGTATTATTTATATTCAGGCTCCTTAATGACGGCCAGTGTCACTTGGGCACAACCTCAACACAACACTGCAGCAGCCAACCAACCTACACTTTTTACTTTTATGATGCAGGAACGCAACCTTCGCGTCGCTACCACCAACCACCGCCGCCGCCACTACTTTAACCTTTGGAAACACCGCCGACACTGGCCTGCTCCGCTTTTTTTTTTTTTTTTTTTCTCAACTCTCTTCGCTGCAGCGAAGCTGCAAAATTATCTAGGCCGAACGAACGAGTGTGTGATATATAGATATAAACCGCGAGAGATAATGCGAAACGAGCACCGCCAGCACCGGTTTTGCTGTTGCTTCGACTGCGGCGCTGCGGACAGTTTTCTGCGACCTCTGCAGTCTGCATCTGCACTGAAAAAACTAGACGTCCCTGTAGGTAAGTATGTTTTCTCTTCTCTTTGTGTAGTACTTTTTTTATTTTGCCAATTTATTTATATTTTTATCAATGATTTCGAGAGGTCAAACATTATTGTTGGGGATACTTGTCAATCACTTCAACGTAACTTTTTTTTTTTTTAAACATATATTTTTTACAAGTATACATTGTGTGTGTGTTAGTATAATTTTCCACGTCATTGTAGAAAAACCAAATTGCACGATCGTCAATTTTGTCGCAAACACATTAAAAAACAATTTCAACGTTCAAGCATGAAATTTGAATTTTCCCGCCAAGCAAAATGTCGATAACTGGAGTAATACGCGATTCAAAAACACCAACACACCAAAACCAATTTGTCGATGCTGAACGTAAAAAATCCCACGTATAATTCAAAATGACGACACAATTTCTCCGAACGATTGAAAAATAAAACGATAGTTTCGATAAAATGAGAAAACAGTGACAACAAAACGACGAAAGTCACGAGCGATAGTTGTGATGACAACTAGCCGAGTACATTGAGGTCGAGCCACGTGATCCCACGTGCTATTCACCCCCTCACCCCCGCTGGCAGCTCGACCCAGTGCTCTTCTCTTCCAAGTAAAAAAAAATTAATTCCCCTTGCCTTTACCGAAAAAACTGAAGAGCAAAGCCTACAACAATGCTCTGATTACAATTTATTCCTGTTCAGCAGCATCGCAATTGTGCAGAACATAAAAAAGAAAGGCTTTATCTATCAGGTGACGGCGCACGCAGCAGTCGCGTATATATATATATATTGTATACATTAGTTTGGTGGCAGGCCGCACTCCGCCTTCTGCTACGACGTCCGCAAGGGTCCAAGAGAGCAGCAGTAGCTATATTATATAGCTCACGGGCCACACAGCGAGTGAAGATTTGTTTGTTGTGCGTACTGCGTCGCAATAAATTGGTTGTGCGGTTGATTGACAAAACAAACGATCCGACGATGTACGCGAAGACGATGGGGGACCGTCAGGCCCGCGCCGAGCACGTCCTGGCTGTGTCGCGCGACTTTGTCGCCCAGCCCCGTATCAGTAAGTTATCTCACCTTCCTCTGGATTATTATTTTCATGCATCGTGTAAATCTGCAGCTCTGCTCCGATTTGTCTTTTGCTGCACCAGTGCACGTTCGTTGTGGAACAGAGTTTGATTTTTATCTCTTGGTCACGTCGATGAGACATGGGCGTACATGTATATAGGTGCGGTGATGGCCCTTCCTTTAATCCGATAATAATACCAACAATTCTCTCCGTATTTTTTGGAGCATCTTGTATGTATATATATATATATATATATATATGAGCGCGCGGTGGCTCAGTCGGCTAGGTCGTGGATTGAGACGCGGGAGNATATACATATATGTGCATGGAGTATCGATCAGCAGCATCCAACATCCTCGTCCTGTTAGCTAATTACATATCATGTGTAATAACAGCTGCTACTTTTCTGTGTATATTTATTTACAGTTGTACGAATGCTTGATCAATTGTTCTTGTAGGTGTTGGAAGCATGCAATTAAGAAAAGCAGCAGCAGTTTACTCTATTTGTATACCTATAGCGTGTCAAGTCGCGTGTGTCATGTGACTGCAGACGACGTATGTTTTTGCTTGATGCTTAAATATATTTTTTATAATATACGTATACAAACTAAAGCTGCACGACCTATGTATCATTTTTATTTCCACACAAAGATAGCAAATATTTGTTTTTTGCAACAATCATCTGCAGACATGAATTTCAGGGATTTCATGGGGCTTGTTGATTTTTAGAGCTGTTGGTGTCGAGCTCGACAATCGGGCGTAGCCACGAAATTACTGTGAAATGTTAACATTTTTAGTATAATTTTAAATATGTTTTAAGGAAATATGTATGGTTTAACTTTTGGCTAGCTAACTGATGCTCCGTAGAGTGGTACCTCTGGGTGCACCAAAGATTTATGTTACGTTGGCTGGGCTCCAACAGAATTTTTGGTCAGTTTTTTTGGTTTTTTTATGAATTTAATTTTGGATTTTCAAGCTATGCTGTACCAGAGTTCTTCAATAATACCGTAACAATCGATAATATTTATTATTATCAATCTAATAACACTAGATTAAAGACTTGATGACATGCATGTAAAAACCAAGTTAAAGAGCTTCATAATAAATTATTAGATTTAGAAAGCTTAGTGCACGGAAATATTCAGTTTTTACTATTTGCAGTTATTTGTTTATCATCCTAATTCTCTATAGCAAGTATAAGAGTGTGCAGGTCTATGAAGTAAAATTATCCTTTGTCTGCAGCCTACAAGACAGTATCCGGTGTGAACGGACCCTTGGTCATCCTCGATGAGGTGAAATTTCCGAAATTTGCCGAGATCGTCCAGCTGAAACTTGCTGATGGCTCAATACGCTCAGGCCAAGTATTGGAAGTCTCAGGCTCGAAGGCCGTTGTCCAAGTGTTTGAGGGTACCTCTGGCATCGACGCGAAAAACACCCACTGCGAATTCACTGGCGACATCCTTCGCACCCCGGTCTCCGAGGACATGCTGGGTCGTGTTTTCAATGGCTCGGGCAAGCCCATCGACAAGGGACCTCCAATCCTTGCTGAAGATTACCTTGACATCGACGGTCAGCCCATTAATCCCTGGTCCCGTATTTATCCCGAGGAAATGATCCAGACCGGTATCTCGGCCATCGATGTCATGAACTCGATCGCCAGAGGACAGAAGATCCCAATCTTCTCTGCTGCTGGTCTGCCCCACAACGAGGTGAGTGTCGTAAAAAATTCTTTAATTAAAATCAATAAATCATCGCGTAATAAACAATGATAACGATCCAACAGATTGCCGCACAAATTTGCCGGCAAGCTGGTTTAGTGAAACTGCCGGGCAAATCCGTCCTGGACTCGCACGAGGACAATTTCGCTATCGTGTTTGCTGCCATGGGTGTTAACATGGAAACTGCCCGTTTCTTCAAACAAGACTTCGAGGAGAATGGTTCCATGGAGAACGTCTGTCTCTTCTTGAATTTGGCTAATGATCCGACCATCGAACGTATCATCACTCCACGTCTGGCCCTCACCGCCGCCGAATTTCTCGCCTATCAGTGCGACAAACACGTACTTGTCATCCTTACCGACATGTCTTCTTATGCTGAGGCTCTTCGAGAGGTTCGTATTTTTCTACGATACAATCATAAAATTTTACATTATCTGCTAAGGGCCTTTTAACAATTATCCCAGGTCTCAGCCGCCCGTGAGGAGGTTCCCGGACGACGTGGTTTCCCAGGTTACATGTACACCGATTTGGCCACGATTTACGAACGCGCTGGTCGTGTTGAGGGCAGGAATGGCTCGATCACGCAAATTCCTATTCTTACTATGCCCAACGACGACATCACTCATCCTATTCCTGATTTGACGGGTTACATTACCGAGGGTCAAATCTACGTTGATCGTCAACTCCACAACAGGCAAATCTACCCGCCGATCAATGTGCTGCCTTCCCTGTCGCGTCTGATGAAGTCTGCCATTGGTGAGGGTATGACTCGTAAGGACCACTCGGACGTCTCTAACCAATTGGTAACAAATATACAAATATATATAAAAGTATTATAGCCTCAAAAGCATTCTGCACGAAACGTTACAATGACAAAATCGTGAATCATTTTTCAGTACGCCTGCTACGCTATCGGCAAAGACGTCCAGGCTATGAAAGCCGTCGTTGGTGAGGAAGCTCTGACTCCTGATGATCTTCTTTACTTAGAGTTCCTCTCGAAATTCGAGAAAAACTTCATTTCGCAAGGCTCGTACGAAAATCGTACGGTCTTCGAATCACTGGACGTTGGCTGGCAGCTGCTCCGTATCTTCCCCAAAGAGATGCTCAAGCGTATCCCCGCCAGTACCCTGGCCGAGTTCTATCCAAGAGATTCGCGTCATTAAATCATCGATTGGCGAGCGTTGTCAGCATCTTCGTAGTAGTTTCTTTTTTTGCTTATGATAATAAATAAAAAATAAAAAAAGAAACGCGCTAACGCAGACGCAGAGTCCAATGTAAGGAAATTGCCGTGAAAAAGAGTGTGTGTTGTACAAAGATGACAGAGCCCCTCGTGGAAATTTGCCTGAAAATCGAGATTTACCGAGCAGTACGTTATTTATTGTTGTGGATTTTTATTTTATCTCTATTGAAAGAAGCTTATTTGTCATTGGTGCTTGTACGTTTTTCAAATGATCCTCAAAATTATATCTTTTTCAAAGATTGACGTGGTTTTTAATTAAAGAACAAATGATGTATCGAGTTATTGATTTTTATTTCGTACTTCACATCGTCATTTTCAAGTAATTTTTAAACATCCTTGTAAAAACCAACAATGTGGTGAAGAAGAGTCCTTCATCAAGCAAAGGATCATAAAAGTAAATTTCTACTAGGGTAGCCTTAGGGTAAAACTACCAAAATTTAGAAGAATGAAAATGAAAAGTTCTGTGCCCCTGATTATTTGGAGCCAGATCACTATTCTAAAAAGTCTATGTAGTCCGTAAGACACATTTAAGCGTTATGTTTTATTGTATGATACTTATATAGAGAACCATTGCTACGAGAGATACAGCTTTTTATGATTGAATCGTTTGAAAAAGGTTAAGATCATTTCCTGCAATCAGTAATTGAGAATAAAACGCACCAAGCTCTATATATATATTTTTATTGCTCAATAAGTCATACTGTAAACGAATGATTTTCCGCCCAAGCAACTAAACCAAGGCATACTGAAATGTTTTTAGAAGTTAGTGTTCAAACATGTACCATCTTTTGTGCTAAAACTACGTAAAACATTTCGTTGTGCTCTTGTTCAGTTGTTTTAGCGTCAACCCGTTACTAGATGTGGATACATTTTTATTAAACATTCATGTCATGCTATCATTGTTTTCCCAGTTAACCATTGTACAATATTTACTTGTACTTTACAGAAATTAAATCATGAATTGTAAAATAAAAGTCGTATCCACGTGTGACGGCAAAGTGTCACAGTCAGTATTACATTATGAAGCAAAAATCAAGTGCATCCAACTCTCGTGTCGACATGTTATTTTGTTCATCGTGTTACATTCCAAAAAGCAAAATTAATGTTTGTATTATCAAAAAAAGAACTACCAAGATGTACAGTCCTAAGAAAAACGTTTACAAACACAAAAATTCAGATCAATACAAGAAAACAAAATTTTTTCTAATAAATGTAAACAATACCAAAATTCAAATCAACTGTGAATTTCATCATCAATGAGTCGATGGTGCATCGTTGAGATCTTTCTATTAATATTTAGGAAAAATACTACGGATTCAATATATTGAAAAATTTACGCGACCATATAAAAAAAAGAAAGAGAAACTAATTAGGAATCGATGAACGTGGCTTTCACTTTTCCAAATGGTTGATATTTCTCGACATTAACTTAAAAAACTATGAATGTATTATAACTGTATAAAAAAATACCAAGAACAAGCTAAACAGTGAAACATTAATTATACATCTCCTACATTTGTTTCCTTCTTAGTTGTATAATAATAATCTTCTTTAAATTACCGTTTAATGTTGAGGAAGATAATGAATTTAATCGTTACATCGTTGTTGCAGTAATTAATCAATTTGTAACTATGCAAAGAAAGGATGATGTTACAATGTTTGTTACAATAATCTGTAAAATTACATATGAGTATCAAAAAAAAAAAATTAAACTATATAGTAAGAAGCCTATAAGATGTATTCAAACACTTTAAAAAAACTATAAATGATGAAGTTAAACGATTATATCGTCCTGATTTACGTGCGAGTTGCTTAACACTAACGTTCACTGAGTACAAACGATTTTGTACCTTTTTTGTCTGGAAAACCATATTATGTATCATCATCTCAGTTTCCTTGAAATACATAAAGAGAGAAAAAAAACGCTTGATTGTATCATGTTACTTTTTTTTGTATAATATTGTAAGGCGTAGCAATATTTTATGTTAAAACAACTGTACCGTGCGTAGAAAAAAAAAGTGATTGTTCAATTTGAAATAAAATATTTTATTCGAGCCGACTGAGTTTATTCTTTCGTGTACTTGATCTGCTACAATTATTTGACATTTCATCTCGTGACCATATACTTCTTACTCACTTTAAACATTAGAAAAAAAATCAAATTGATGATCGCATTATAAGTATTTGTACACTTGTGAAAATATTTATAATAATCTGATGGTTCACGCTCTTTGATAGTCGTGATGCCTATAGATATATGATGCAAAAATACAACACTTGCGCATCACGCACATGCAGGTTTGCATATTTACGATTGCAGATTGCAGCAGACGTCGTTGGAGGAGAGGGGGAGAGCAGCCGACAGACTAATCTCCGTCAGGTGTATACGATTTATTTATGAACGAAAAATTCATGTGGTGTACTGGTGTGTCAGTTTAGTTTTTAATTGCAATTGCTTTTCTCGGGTGTGTTTTTAAAAATAGCCCTCAAAACGTCATTACGCGCAAAGGTGAGTGCATGGAGATTTTTTTATTCGATGATTTATAGAGTAATTGTTTTCGAGAGTTTCAACTACGAAGAGACTATAGCAAGCATGTTTTGTGCGCTGCGAAAAAGTGGGGTTAGGATCGTCATCCGTCTCTTTTTCTCATGAAAGGGGGAAAAAAAGTCTCTTGACCGTTAAGCGCTTCTGGTGTGCCATTAATGTGTTTTATTGGTATAATTAGACATCTGCATGATTAATATTATGCACTTTATAAATGAAAAAGCAGAGTTAAAGTACATCTTTGAGGTGCATAAGAGAATGAAAATAGTGTTAAGAATTTGACGTTACTTAATAATCAAAACCATTTTTTTGGAGTATCAAAGTGTCATAAATTTACGTGAATGTAACATTACATCGATAGAAGCAGCATAATTTCTGCAGTGTATATAGGAAACACGGTTCTAGCTGTTTTTATTTATTAGACACTTGCCAGTAGACATAGGCGTGTTTACAAATAATTTGTAATGTATTGAAAAATATACGAGTTCATACAAATTAGTTACACGTTTCGTTGCTTTAGTTTAAGCCTTTGTCTCAACATTAACACACCTGACACAATGTTTGTATTACCTAATGTACCCATGTATGTACAACGTACATATAACTTATATATATTATATTGCCAAATATTACATAATGTTTGTAGGCAAGTCTAGATACCTATACTTTGTTTATTTGATTCTTTAATCTTTTATATCACTATTCTTTTCGTTGTGTGATACCTAGTAAAATTTTTTTCTTACAAAATTTAAGATTTAAACTATAATTAGGCTGCTGATGCACTTATTAAGATTCACGTGTGAATGTGGGTGTAACAGATCGTTTGAGTGGAATATTTTACTGTTTGGTGAATTGTTTTGATGATTTTATGATGATGGATTGATCATCTATTTATTTTAATTTCCTGTCTTGTGTAACTTAAGTTTTATCTCTTGAGTGTAGGTACTTATTGAATGTTATTATTCGTTTAATGTTCTCACGATTTCGTTCAAGAAGTCAAGCACCTCATTTTATAGATTTACATAACAAAACCGTGACCTTTACAATGGAAGTATACTTTATCTTTTGTTTTTTTTTTTCTTTTTTATGTCGTACAAAAAAAAAAAAATTTTGAATGACAATGATAATTTTAACTCATAATGATGGATTTTCACACTTTTTTCACACACCAAACAATTTAAATATCTATATTTGTTTCGAGCTTTCTTTGTGTGATGTAAAGTATTAGCATACGATTCGAATACAATATTTCGAACTTTTTTTTTTCATTTCAGCTCAAAAAGTAATCCTAACTTGGCTGTTTTTTTACTTCAACGTATTTATAAAATAATATATACAATCACTAAAATTTTTTTATCTGCTTATATTCATATTACTCTGATATTGACATTTTTTAACTAAAATCAGATTTTCTATCGATTAAAAAAAAAAAATTTCGCTGTACTACTTTATAGTTGTTTTAGCGTCAACCCGTTACTAGATGTGGATACATTTTTATTAAACATTCATGTCATGCTATCATTGTTTTCCCAGTTAACCATTGTACAATATTTACTTGTACTTTACAGAAATTAAATCATGAATTGTAA